ATAAAAAATAATGAAAAAGCGGTCACAGACAGCACAAGACAACACACTGAATCATGATGTTGAAATTCTTCCTTCGTTGTCCACTACATGGCCCCTCCCCGGCGATGGGCCAAGGGCGAGGGGCGGGGGCGGCGTCAAACAGCCCATCACAGGGGATTGCTGAGGCGCTCTCTGTTCTCCTCCAGCCACTTCAGTATCCTCTTCTCTGTGTTGCGTCGCTCTTCGTCAGGCTGCAAAGGGACCAGGCCGTTAGGGATATACTTTTGCATCACAGAGAAAAATAAATGTCAGACGTACATGTATACGTACATATGTGAATTTATGTGTAAACACACACACACACACATATATATGTATATATATATATATATATATATTATATATATATATATATATATATATAATATATATATATATATATGTGTGTGTGTGTGTGTGTGTGTGTGTGTGTGTGTGTGTGTGTGTGTGTGTGTGTGTGTGTGTGTGTGTGTGTGTGTGTGTGTGTGTGTGTGTATGTATATGTATAAACATACAACACGGGCATGTACACACACACACACACACACACACACACACACACACACACACACACACACACACACACACACACACACATATAATATTATATATATATATATATATATATATATATATATATAGAGAGAGGAGAGAGAGAGAGAGAGAGAGAGAGAGAGAGAGAGAGAGAGAGAGAGAGAGAGAGAGAGAGAGAGAGAGAGAGAGAAAGAAAGAGAAAGAATGAGAGAGTGAGAGAGGAGAGAGAGAGAAAGAGAATAACATGAAACGTACAATCAAAGAAATCTGGGCCGCGTCAGCAACACACCCGGTCGAGCCCTTGCCGCGGGCGTGACGCGTCCTCGTCCTACCTTTGGGGATGATGAAGGCGCCTGCCCGTACTCGGCCGTCTTCCAGCTGGCGCAGCGGGGCGTCCTGGGGTCGGTAGGAAATCCAGTGCCGGCATAAGTGGGTGTTTCCTTGTGCTCGTAGCCGTCTCCCGAGGCCCCAGAATGTACCGAACTGGCCCGGTCTCTTGGTGCCCATTTCGGTGGTGGCGTTCCCAATGTAGTTCAATCCTTCGAGACCATTCTTGGTCCAGGTTGGGGTTAAATGGTGTGGCGCGGTGTCCTATTCTAGATTCTTACTTCCCTCACGCGTGTGCTTTCTACAGCTTGGATCGTTGTATTACCTGGCTGTTGTGTAGAAAGACAATAAGGACAGCCTGTTGCCCGGGATCGCGGGCACCTCTGGCGGCCCTTGCCGCCGGGCCCTTTGCCTCGGTCCTCGGTCACTGGCGGGGGCTTCGGGGTGGTGGTGGGGATCCTCACGCGGCGAATCTTGGGGAAGAATCCCCTCTCGTTGGCACTGCGGTAATGGGGATGCAAATGCGGGTGTAAGGAATTATGAAATATGATCCATGTGATATAAAGAGGAAAATTATTTCAATAATAACAGGCCAGCGACTGCTTGAATCTAACAGCCTGACAGTCTGGCCTAAAACACGAAAGCCAGTGACCCCCAGCCCCTTCGACGAGGGAGCGACGGAACCTACACGTAGGTGACGATGCGCCTCCAGCCGTCGGGAGCGTCCCAGTAGTATTCGCCCTTCTTGGAGCCGTCAGGAAGACCCGTCTCCGAGTGGCCGTGAGTGGGAGTCGTGAATCCAAAGGTGTACGATGGCTCTGGCTCATCTTTGGGTCGAGGAGTGGTGGTGGTCGTGGTGGTTGTGGTGGTCGTGGTCGGTGCAGGTCGCTGCGTTGTCAGGTTGGGGCGTCGCAACTGTCTGCCTTGGCGCTCCTCAATCACAGCCTCTGGCTTGGAAGCTGAGGGGAGTTCCAGGGGCGTGAATGACAAGTGTTTGGCGGAAGAGAGACAAGGAGACGGGTATATAGACAAACAAACAGAGACGAAAAGACGGAGAGTGTCTTCTCCGCTCATTCGACATACATCGGCAAAGGGATTCACGCAATTCGCATCACTAAATGCAGATATAACTGAAAATATGAGCATAAACATTTACAGGAAAGAGCTATAGCCTCACCTTCAATAGCATTATCGACGACGATGGGAAGAGGAACGAGCCGTTAGCGGGTCACGAGGTCTGGGGGTGGTCGTGGTGGTCGTGGTAGTTGGGCGCCTCGTGGTCGTCACTCGAGCGATTGGTCGGCGAACTGCAGGAGGGTGAAGGGGGGAGGAGCCGGAGAAAAGAGGAAGGGCAGCAGAGGGCGGGGGGAAGAAATTAGTTGAGAAATAGCTGCGAAAAGACGTGTATATATTAAGGAAAGGGGGGATACGGAAAGAAAAAAAAAAATAGGAAAGTGAAGCGCACGAGCAGACGCGAAATGCGCAAAGAAATCGGCGGAACAGACAGAGGGATAAAATAGAATTAAATATAACATCAGATAAAAAAAAAATATTCTTATTCATCATTTCACAAAGATATTCAACGCAGCTTGCCATAGCTTGAGTAAAAGTGCAAAGAGAA